TGTTCTCAAGGAACATACACCGAATTTTCCACAAGCTACTTCCCTGTGATGATATCACTGGAAACTTGCACTTTTTATGTTGTCTTTTTTAATGTTCTAATTTTTTTTCTTATAATAAACATGCTTACTTTGTAATTAGAAAAAAAAACAAAAATAATAATTTTGAAAAGGAAACCCCACATAGTCAGATGTATCTGAACAGTTTAGGTTACTAGATTTGTGTTCCTAGAACATGGGTGCTCATTTGGATAGTGTTTCCTATTGTCCACTGTGAGGGGTTGTCTTTAGATTAGAATTGGAGTCAATTAGGGGCTGCCCCGTGCCGTGGCCGTTAAGTGCGCGCGCTCCGCTGCTGGCGGCCCGGGTTCGGATCCCGGGCGCGCACTGACGCACCGCTTGTCGGGCCATCCTGAGGCAGCGTCCCACGTACATAAAGTGGAGGAAGATAGGCTAGATGTTAGCTCAGGGCCAGTCTTCCTCAGCAAAAAGAGGAGGATTGGCATGGATGTTAGCTCAGGGCTGATCTTCCTCACAAAAAAAAAAAAAAAAAGAATTGGAGTCAATTAGTTTTTGGCAGCACTTTTGCAAAATACACCCTCCCTCCACTCTTTATAAACTAAGTTCTGCCAGCTTCCTTGGCAGTTGGGTAGAGGACAGGCAATTGTGCCATTTCCCTAATACTACTTTAAGCTCTGCTGCTCCTCACTGTATCTGCCTCTTTGATTTTAGCACCAATTTTTGTAAACTCGTAAAGGCTGTGCTTTTTGCAAACCAAATTAGCAGTACCTTTCTAGCAACAGATGCCCACATATTCCTGAATTGTGTCACTTCCCAAAGATAATGTGGTGAAAGCATGCTTGGCCTAACCTGGATGACCTGCAGACACCATGACCCTGGGAGGGAATGCAGAATGCCAAAATGAGAAGAGTTTGCTCTGATGAGGTGCATGGACACTCCCATTCCAACCTTTTTAGTGGGCAGACCCGTTATGGTTCCCATCCTTCCAGTATTTCCACACATCTTCCATACGTGGAAGGCGTAAATTCAAGAAGATAGTGCGTTTTTCTCTTTCAAAAAGATGACTCTCAAGTTGTTTAAATTAAAACATATAGGAAATATCTAGAAATCTCCGTGACCAAGCAAGGGCATAAGACTTAAGAATGACATTTAACATTTAGCTAATATTTGCTTTGCTCAAATCTTTATAATTTTTAATTATTTACAACTCTTGTTGAGGTCAGTATTATACCCATTTTATAGATGGAGAAGCTAAAGTAGAGAATTACCAAATATATTAGTTGTGAGAAGTAGGATTGAAATGTTGATTATCAGCTAAAGTACTGCTTCCTTTGGTACACAGCTCTGATTTTTCTTCACACTAACATTTTGAAAATGGAACTAAGTCAAATATTTGAGTTTCCTAAAAGGGATATTAAGGAATAAGGTCAGAATAGTACTTCACCTTAATCTCTTTCATGGATAATCCTATAAGATATTAATTACTTTGGTCCTGTGTAATATAGCTAGAGGAATGTGGGATTAATTTTAATAGTGATTACAGCAAAATAAATGTCAGTATTTCAGGTACACAAATAAAGCTTATTTTTTAATGACGTTTTACTAAAAAATTCAATAGAAAAAGTACAAAAATGATATTGTTAAAAATACTAATAATTCATTACATTAATAAGGTTTCTTTACAGTTTTTCAAATTGCTTTCCTAGACATCATTGTATGTGACTGTCATAGTAATTGTGTGGTAGATAGGACCAAGGTTATTGGCCTGATCTTACAGAATTAGAAACCAGGGCTCACAGAGGATGTTGATGGTAGAGGTAGGCCTGGAATCCAGCCCGTCGGTCACCTACACTAATGTTTGTTCCACTGCGCATCTAGGCAGCAGTTCAGTGGTTTGACAACCTGTACCTCCAACCTGAAATAATTAAGTGGCTGCTCTAAAGGGCCAGATTAGTAGCTATTGATTCCTGAGTATATTTTAGGTGCAGTTAAGTTTAAGGTTAGACAGCGGGTGGTAAGCTTCCCATTTGTGCCTGATTCAATACAAGATGTCTAGTCTGTAAAATGGGGATAACCTCTTCTTCCTTAGATTGTCCAAGGGCATTGCTTGTGGGCCAAGTGGCAATTCATAGCAAGGAGAAGTTAGAGTATGAGACATGTGAAACGCTGTGAGCAGGCACCATGACCCAAAGTCACCAAGTAATTCACAGTAGTGGTGCTTACTCCTGCTTTGTTTATGTCAGTAGAGGCCAAGACATTTTATTTAACATCTTGTCTAGTTCCTGAATTGTTCATATTAAAAAACTTACTATGATTTCTCTTTTAACCCCTTGTGCCCACAGAATGAACTTACTAGTATTAGCACTAGTGTGCGGCCAGAATGTGCCCACAAGAAGCAAATGTAGGCTGAGGAAATTAACAAAACAGCATTAGCCTGAGGAGCTGTGGTTCTCCAATCTGTAAACCCTCTCTCCTCAACTTTTTATTTTTGCTGATTTTTTCTCAACTTTTTATTTTGAAATTTTCAAATCTACAGAAAAGTGGGTGTGTGTGTGTAATGAACCTGTGTATATCCTTAACCTAGATTAAGGAATTATTAAGATTTTGCCATATTTGCTTTAACTCTCTGTGTGAGTTAGGGGGGAGCGGAGGGGGTTTGCTAAACTATTTGAAAGTAAATTGCAGTCATCATTACATTTTATCCCAAAATATTTCAGCCCGCATCTCCTAAGAATGAAGACATTCTCTCGTGTAACCAATAACACTATTGTCATATTTAAGAAAATTAATTCCATAATATTTCATGTACTGTCCATATCACATTTCCCCCAACTGTCCCTCAATTTTATAGTGTTCAGGATCTAATCAGGGTTCATACATTGCATTTAGGTGTTATGCCTCTTCAGTCTTTTTCAATCTCTCAATCTCTTTTAATCTATAACAGTCATCCCTGTGTTAAAAGAAAGAAAAAACAGTTTTTAAAATATGTCTTTTTTGAATAGTCCACGCTTGTCCTATAGAATGTCCCGCAGTTTGTATTTGTCTATGTTTTTCTGTCATACTTAGATTCAGATAAAACTTTTTTGGGGGAGGGGGGCGAGAATACTGCATAGATAATGTTATATAGTAATTATTATATCATGTCTGGAGGTAAATAAGGTCAGGTGGTTCCATTAATCAGAGATTCTAAATTTGATGACTGGCAGAAATTTGGGTCTCCCTTTGGTAAGTCCAAATTTAATGTTGTAGTTTTCTTTGACTAACTGTACAGCATTGTTTTAATTTTTGTTAAAGTGTGTATTATTAATAAGAACAATAAATATTTCTGATTTAGAAATAATGGTGGGCATAGACTGTTAGTAAGCAGTATTCCCTTTGTCTGCTCTTTTCTCCTTGAATAAATACCCCAAAGACTCCTTATATTAATATTTCCTCCCACCTTCCTCTTTTTTTTTTTTGCTGAGGAAGACTGGCCCTGGGCTAACATCCGTGCCCATCTTCCTCCACTTTACATGGGACGCCGCGACAGCATGGCTTGCCAAGTGGTGCATCGGTGCACACCCGGGATCCAAACCAGCGAACCCCAGGCCGCCGCAGCAGAGCGCGCGCACTTAACCGCTTGCGCCACCAGGCGGCCCCCAACCTTCCTCTTTATGACTGTACAGGAAATTTTTGCAGATTAACTGCTGGTGAGGACCTCAGGTCTAGAGAGAGATAGGAATAAAGATTTATGGTGGGAGAATAACAGCAATATGAACATTTATTGAGCCATTATCATGTACCATGGCACTAGGCTAAGCACTTTCTGTGGATCGTCTGCACAGTAACCCACTTAGGTAAGCAGCATTGTATCCCCATTTCACAGATTAGGAAGCTCAGTCACAGAAAGGTTGAGGATCTTGCCCAAGGACCTACAGCAAGTAAGTGGTAGAGCTAGGGTTCAAACCCAGTGCTAAGTCTAGAGCCCATTTCTTATTTACTGTTCTATGCTGCCTCCATTACTGTGTTCCAGGTATTGTACCAGACAGTGTCTCATACATTTTATTGTATAATTCTCACATCAGCCTGTAAGAAACAGTCTCAAATAGATGAAGTTACTTATCCAAGGGCATATGATATCCGAACCATTTATCCTATTTTGTGGTTCTCTCCCATGTTTCAGCCAAGGTCTTTAACAGCAGAGTGGTTTGTCCAGCGGGGTCCCTTTTCTCACTTCCCAGCACCCACATAAACAGGAATCATGTGCTGGAAATGAAACCAGGTGGCAGAAGCAGCTGCACAAGCAAGAGAAGCCTGATCGGGTCCACATTAACCAGATGACAGGAGTGAGAGCCTTCAGTTACAGTTCGGGGACCATCAGTGAGAAATGGGATGACACTGAACCTGAAATAAAGATTTTTGAAATAAGACTGGTCTTCCAAGGGAAAACATTTCCTTATCGTCTGCCCTCTCACCAGAGAGGATGTGGCAGTCTTGTTATTTGAGTAACTTCAAACTAATGATCAGAGCCACGAAGAAATTTCTGAAGGAAAGTGTGATTGCTTGTAGTTTCTGATACCCACTTTTGGTTTCCTTTTTAGGATTTTTTTTAACATCATCACTGAGTCTATATATAATTGTAGCTGAGAGGAGTGGAATTATAGAGAGTAATGTGACCTATTTCATAGGATTTTTGTGAGGATTAAATTTACACGCACGCACACATGTAGAAGAGTGCCTGACACAGAGTAGGCATTCAGTGTGGAAGTTATTATCATCATTCTATGATTACATCATTGAATTTTGTGTTGTCTCATGATGTGAGTCTGGAAACCTTCCCTAAATTAGGACAATTGGCCCCTCAACCCAGGAAAACAAACATTCCAGATACTGCCTGGCTAGTACCTAAGCTAGAGACTAGATCTCCCTTAGTGACCCTGTCTGGTGCTGGCAGGAGGCTCCTGTTGCCATGGTGTCTTTCACACTCTATCTTTCTGTTTCAGGTGGTTAGCTCAACCAATGGAGAGCTGAATGTCGATGACCCCACAGGAGCCCACTCCAATGCACCAATCACAGCTCATGCTGAGGTGGAGGTAGTGGAGGAAGCTAAGTACGTTCATCTTGCAAGGGGGCTCTTGAGTCATAGGTTGAAAAATGTTTTCTCTGTCTCTTTCTCTCTGTGTGCTGCTCATCTCAGACTGGATTCCTCATGCTTGTGTCCACAGCTTTCTTCCTTTGTTTTATTTTTTGCATGGTACCTTAAAGCCGCTGCTGCCCTTCTTTAGCTGTGATTTCTGGGAAGGCAGTCACATTTTTCTGGTCCACGTGGAGCAAAAAATAGTGAACTAAAAGAATCATGATGTAAAAGCTACAACAGAGAGTAGTCGTGAGCCTCTTGGGGCCCTGGAACTTCTTGCTTCCTGTGGGACACAGAGAAGTATCTGCTTATCTAGATAAACCATGGGTCATGCTGAATAGCATTAGATTTCTGGTTCTTGACTAACCACTCTGTGTGTATAGTCCTGGAGCAAGGGTTTCAGGGCCATTTTGTTCTCACTTGAGTGATTCTGGATTCAGAGAAACTCAGATAAGCCAGACAAGAAAAATAGGCTCTGTACCTGTGAGTGAAAGAGTCTTGGGAAGGAAGGGAACTCACACTAATCCCAGTAGGATAAGGAGGTTACCCTACTCCCTTTCTGCTTCCCTTGCATGTGAATGTCTTGCCCTGCCCATACCACCAGCCCTTTGGTGCTCTCTGCATGGTCTGTGTTTGAACTCTTAGACTATGGGGTGGAAGGTGAAATAACTGTTGATTCTGCTGCAAAAGCAGCATTTCTATTACTTCTTTCCCTTTTTGCCCCATCCCAAATTCAGATCCAGATTTAAACTCCAAGAAGACATGAGATAGGGAGAGAGAAGTCCTTTGCAAATCAGTACCTGCTGCCAAGCTTGATATGGATGACCTTTCTTGTAAACCCTTTGAGAACATTCAGGCTATTGCAGTATCTTGTTCTCAGAAGTAGGCAACATATTTATAGTGATACTGTGCCCTAAGAGGTCTCTTGAGCCCCCAGATAGCCTAAGTACAAGCCAGAACATGTTTATACTTCTGGGTATAAGATGGTGAGAGGCTGATCAACACTTGCATTCTCCTTCCTTTCAGATACACTTTGCATGGTTGTCCCCCCTGCCCACTACTCTGCTCTGCTGCCCCTCTATATGAGGAGCTCACTTTGCGTTCAAGAGGTCCTTTCCTTGGAAAGCCAGGATGTAAGGATTCCTATCCAGTGGATAAAAAACAAAAGATAAAAAGGATGACTTGGATTCTCTACTATTGAGTCCCTGCTAAGTGTAAGCAGCTTCAGATGCTACTCCCACGGTTTATATAAGGCCCTCATACATAAGGAGGGCATGGGGAGTTTTTAATGCCAGGAGGAGACCATTTTGAGTATGGAAACATGCTCCCTATTCTCAGAGACTTTGGAGATTTTGATGGTACTCACGATTTTTCACTTTCCATGACAAAACTGCATTCTCTCAAATACACAATGTAGTACTCCTACCCTCTGGGTTCTCAACCTTGGCTGCACTTTGGGGCATGTTAGAAAACACAAATGCCTGAATCCTGGCCCCAGAGATATCATCTGGGATATGGCTTGAGCATCAGGAATTTTTATAGTTCAGGTGATTCGAATGTGTAGCCAAGGTGGGGAACCACTGTGCTAGATGTGGTCTGATCCAAACATTGTCTGGGCTTGAAAGATGGCTGTACCCATTCCCACCCCCACCTCACTGCCAAGTCACCATTGTGGCTATTACTTTGAAGCTTAGAAGTTTAGCTCTAGATTTAGTAGTATACTTTGAATACCAAGATTGAATGGGCTTTAGTCTTATAATATGCCCTATAGAGGTTTATCTTTTGAACCCATTCATCTCATTTCATTTGGTAAATGTGTACACTAATTGTGTATGTGAGTGTGGTGTTTGTGTCCTGTGTGTAAGATAGGGGGCCATTCACACAAACAGATTTCAATCTGGCGTATTCTTTTCTGGCATAATCTAAACTCTCGGATGTAAAGAGAGTCTAAAGTCTCCCCATTTACCAAAAAGGACCTCTCTGCCTCTTTGCCACCAGTCCAGGTTTGGGCCTTCTGAACGATGTGGAAACCAGAGGGGAGCAATTGTATTTGACCAAATGTCGTCCAAAAGCTCATAGTTGAGGGTATTTTGTGTGCTGATTCTCCTAGTGGTTTCGCGAGCTGCCAGTCCATCTTGCCCAGGGAACTGTCAGGGTGCAGCCATGTGTTTTTCTTCATGGCTTTCTATGTGTATGGGGGGAGGGAGGGGGAAGCCATGTGTCCACCTTCTTGATCATTTTCATGGGAAGAAGTCACAGCTAGAGAAGCACAAGGCGTCCCAGACAACCCCTCATTGCGCGCAGCTGTGATGCCATTTGTCCATGCAGCCTGCTTGTGGGAGAAAGGGGCTGTTGCCTATATTAAGATTCAACTAGGGTACTGGGGAGACTGTGGGACACCTTCACTTCTAGGCTTTTGATTTTGAGTTCCTCACCCAGCTT